TGGGTATATTATAAATAATAGGATCCCCATATACCCCATATCCTATCTACCTAAGAGGGGCTAAAGGATTTGGGGTTAAATTACCATCAAAGAACATGCAGATGAAATCCGAGCCGGGGCTATGTAAGGGTTTGTATGGGGATATAGGAACTTCAACCAGGTTCTGCAATATGGACATACAGAAAGGGTGTGGCTTCTTTATGGTGCAAGTCAGCTTAAACCTCTTTAACATCAACCCAGCTGTTGACTGCTCTACTTCTCTTTCGGAGAATTGATGCCTGCAAACCTAAACCCTGACTAGAGCTCATGCCACAATCTTCGCTGAACCCTAAACCCTGACTAGGGCCTCATGCCATGCTCTTTGATAAGCAACCTGCCCTAAATGAGCTGTAGTCTAAAGTCCTTAACGGGATTATATAGGAGATGATATCATATTGGGTTTAGGGATTAGGGTTTAAGGTCTAAACTCCTTAAAGCGGGGTTAGTTATATAGGAGATTTCATATGGGACTACCATAGGGGTTATCAAGGGGGATGCTAGGAGTTTGGACTATAGCTCAAGTGGGACATCATAATCATCGCATGAGTATGATGCGGTCCTTATTTCGGGGGGTTGCGTTTACCGAAATCACCCATAATCCCCTACATATGCCCAGTTGTCATCTCATTTTCCAATTTCTTATTACGATCCTCTTGCTACAATCCTCTTGCTCGACCATATCGACTAATTAACATGATGTATATAACACCTATACTGCCGTATTGAAAACTTCCTCCCCAAGTTCTGAGCATCAGTGAAGGATGACGTGGTGGAGTTTTCGGACCAGTCGCCCAAGGCGAAAGGCAACTTGCATGTTCGAAGGGCTTAGTAAACAAAGATGCGTGCAGTAGAATTTGCGGTAGATGATCCTACGACCCCTGCTCTCTTTTCTCGGCAACAAGAGACCAGATAAGCTATTGTAAATTCTACTGTTAATTTTTTCCAGGTTTGAGAGGTTAGGGTCTTGTCCGGTCTGAATCAGGGATGTTCATCCTGAGGGTCTCGGAAGATACCACCGGTTAAGAGAGACTTCCGCTGCAGAAAGCATTAGAGACCCCTGCACAAGAAGAGCTCAGCAGGCAGCAGATCCCCGGACTCTGTATAATTGCAGCAGCAGGTCTGTACCGTCCTCGTAGCTCAGGTATGGTCGCACCAGACGCAGAAGTGCTTCTGCGCGATTATTCATCTCTTGTCCTCCTGAGCCGCTTGCCTGTGTGGACGGCATGGAGAAGAATCAAGTTAAAAGGCAGAAGCCGCAGAAGAAGTACTACTAGCAGCTGAAGCAGCAGTAGTGGCAGGAGCAGCAGGATGATAATCATTTTGACGGTGATGATGATGCCGATGTCGACTGTGAGGTGATGGTTGGTGGTGATGATGATGACGATCATGACGATGATGATGACGATGATGTAGTCGAAGTAGGAGTCATAGTCGTAGAATTCGCACAGTTTGTAGAATAGTCGTGGTCATAGGTCATTATAGCTGCACTGCTGGTTGGTGGTGGTGGTGGTGGTGGTGGTGGTGGTGGTGGTGGTGGTGGTGGATGTGGTGGTGGTGGTGGTCGTGGTCGTGGTGGTGGTGGTGGTGTCTGATGTTGTTGTTGTTGCTGCTGCTGCTACTGCTGCTGCTGTTGTTGTTGTTGT